TTTATTACGTACTAGCTGACCCGGTAGACTTCGTAGTGTTGTTCGCTCACGCGGCCTGTTCGCTCACGCGGCCCGCACACACATAGACACCCTTCAATCTCTACAATCCTGCTTTTGCAGGTTAGCCGTCGGAGCTCCGTGGTTCGTGAGGAACGTTGACCTACACGACGACCTGGGCCTCGAATCTATACAGAAATACATGAAGTCAGCGTCGGAACGGTACTTCGATAAGGCTATGCGTCATGATAATCGCCTTATCGTAGCCGCCGCTGACTACTCCCCGAATCCTGATCATGCAGGAGCCAGTCACCGTCGACGCCCTAGACACGTCCTTACGGATCCATCAGATCCAATAACCTTTGCACTAGACGCCTTCAGCTCTAGGAGCAGGCTTAGGGACCTCGGTAACCGTACTCGTCGAACTCGACAAAGAGTTCGCCGTGCAACTTAACCCATGAATCAGCTCGCTGAGTTTCTCACCGGATCTTCTCAGCGGTTCGCGATTCCGATCCGGTAGTAGATTCATTCGCGAAGCAGCTACTCTTGAGTTGTTAGGTCTCCTTCGGAGGCGCTCGGGTAGCTGTTAGCAAATTCCACCCCTCCTGGCTGAGCCTTTGCTCGCCCACCTGTCCTGGTGAAAATGGAAAGGCCTCCGGTCCACCAGTAATCCTTCAATCATAAAAAAAAAAAAAAACTTCGTAGTGCCTCAATCGATAAATAAAAGACCTAAACTTTTGTGTAAAATAAACTTAAAACAAACAAAAGGAATCCGTCCGATGGGGGACACATCAAAGGGAAAACAAAATGCATTTTCATATTTATCTACCTTTTAAACCTTCTCTGGACTTTCACAAATAATTCGGTTCAGCCGTTCACGAGTTTTAGCGAGACTAACGAACAGCAATTCATTTTTATATATATAGATTTTTCCATAATTTGTCTTAAATCAAAACCAAAATCCTTTTCACATGACTCTTAAGGACAATTTTTTTATTTTACACTTTCATTGGAGAAACGAGCAGACAAGCTTGCGGGCCTGGAACAGCGGCTCTCAAAGCTCATATACATCGTGACATGAATCAGACCGCTCAATTTGTGCCTTGACGTCGAACTCTCAGCTGATTTGACACACATACTATTGAAAAATGTTAGAACCAGAACAAGTTTCATTGCAGAATGAGTCTTGATGATTATACCGCCCGAGCACGGTTATAACGTCGTCTCGAGACAAATATATAAATTTCGAAGTTTTTTAATGTTCATCTTCTTTCGAAAATAATTATTTTGTCAATCGGTCTGATTTAGCTTTCGAAGGCCGTAAAGTTGACGGTATACACCAGTTAATATCAAGAATAAATGATAGTACTATTATTATTTTGGCTTTGTGATTTACAATCCAAGCACTTACTGCGATCACCGTATTATCGAAAACCTATTGTGAGACCCGCAGTAAATTGCTTATACGTACAAATCTGTTCGGCTCTCTATTACCTTCAGAAGCTTTGTCATTACAATATTATTTTTCACCTGAAAGGTTTCACGGTAACCCTTTGAGATATTTGCACCATGTGCGTGAGCGAACTAATATCACTTATTTTATTATTATTTTAACGAGTATTCGACTATAAATGGAACTTTGGATATGCTTTTGGGCGACGTTTGGCATTTCTGTAATGCGAAACTCTGTGTCTAAAAAAATAATAAATGTGTCGCTAGTAATTTAAGATAAGACAGACATATAGAATAGGATAGAATTTATAGTGGAGAAATTTATTGATTCGTTGAAATTTATTGAAAATATTGATCTCATAAACAATTCAACATTTTCACTTTTACGTTATGCCGCCTAGGATTTGATTAAAAAATCTGTACAGGTGCTATTTCAAGATATGTTAAAGTAATATGTCCCTTTTATTCATAGATTAAAACCGGGGACGTTAAAAAATTACATAGCCGCGTAAAAAAATTGCTATACTTAACTTGATATGTGCGATATCATAAAAGTCCTAATAGGCCAAAATGAACGAACGAACTACTCATAGATACACCAACAATTAACCACACAAGACATTTTGTGTTGCTATCCATGTTTACCATGTCACATTTTAGTATTATTAAGATTTATTTAGTGATAATATTGAAGGATCTTTCTTTTAAGAGATCCATTTTTAACAAGTTTTAGTTTAATTTAAAACCACGTTTACGGCTTTACGTCTAGTTTTTTTTGTTTTTTTTTTTACCTAAGCTGATGGTCTGCTGAGAGAGATGCTGAGAGACCATGACAACGTCGCCGGGCTAGTAGGTGAGCTAATAGGCTGAGCTTACTGGGCTCAAACCTGACGATGCTGCTAACATGAAGAGAGAGAAGTGCTGTTCTTCGCAGAATCTACCAACGGATCGGAAACGCGACCCACTGAGAAGATCCGGCGAGAAACTCAGTGGGCTGTGTCTGTGGGCTAATTTATTAGGCAAGCCCTTCGTCGCAAGCGACGGGTTCGACGAGAACGATGCTTGGGGTACCTAAAAGCACCGTTAGTGGATCGGGAAGACCCGATCCGTGTTTTGGGCGACGTCAACTGTTTACCATTTGGTCCACAGGGTCGGCTATGTAGGCGGCTACGATGAGAGGGTTCTCGTGTCGTACCGCTTTATCGAAATGTACGACGACGAACGTAAGCTTACGGCTTACGTTTACTTTTACTGTATTACTTTACAGTAAAAGTAAACATACTTTATTCGCGGAAAAATAGCATTTATATCGCTAACTTTGTTTTGTTATTAGTGTCCAGTTGCTTATTGCAGCTTAACATTGTCAGCCAATTAAACCCAATAAATAAATAAATAAAAACTCAAAGACGAAAACAATGTAAATGTCATGTAGTCAAGTTACGTATTATGAAAATGAATGGGAGCGGTTTCACTCGTTGAAATTATGCTAACAACATTCGTACGTTTCGTGACATAAATTAAAAACGAATAGGTGTGTCCGAACACAATCAACCCTTTCGTTCCATTGCCGTTTAAATTAGCGTACGTTTTGTAACATATGAGTATATAACATGATTTTAAACATGAAAAACTGACCGGGTGTTTTCTGCTAAACATGGTGTGCAATTAAGAACCATGCATAGTAAGGTGCTCTGAGGAATTGTTCGAGAAGATACCGGCATCTCGTTTTTACCATCGCACCGCCCGCCACCGGAGTAGATTTCATCCATATTACCTGGAGCCACTGCGGTCATCCACAGTGCGTTTCCAGAGGTCTTTTTTGCCACGTACCATCCGGCTATGGAATGAGCTCCCCTCCACGGTATTTTCCGAGCACTATGACATGTCCTTCTTCAAACGAGGCTTGTGGAGAGTATTAAGCGGTAGGCAGCGGCTTGGCTCTGCCCCTGGCATTGCTGAAGTCCATGGGCGACGGTAACCACTCACCATCAGGTGGGCCGTATGATCGTCTGCCTACAAGGGCAATAAAAAAAAAGGTGGCTGGTTCATATGTAGGCATCGAGTCATGCGACTATACTGTGATTCAAATTCCATGTCCTTCTTAAATCATGTTAGTTCACTGATGACTTTAACATTAAGCAAAACCAAAACAGGCACAATTTTACCCTCTGTTTGTGTGGTCACTGTTGTTTGTGGCGAGGCTTAGGGGACGCTAATGTCTAGTAGTGGACGTCTGTGGGCTGGAAAATATATTGATAGACTGTTGTTTTTTATCTATATTTAATATTATCAATAACATTTTCGGAAGTAGTTTTTTTTTTCATAATCTCAATTAAATACTAAAAGAGAAAAAAATAGACATAAATTGAATTTTAGGTTTTGAATTTGTATCGACGATACTTGAATTTCGGATATTGAGCGAGCACTAGTCTGCAAAACAATGTCAATGCTACCGTCCGTACATCTTGGCATCAGAGCTGGAATACTCAATAATATTTTAATACCAATTTTTTACATCGCAACACACGATTGCAGCAAAAAAAGCTATTATAGAAATATCCACCTCTGCGTTCAATGAGCATCCAGTTTTTAATGTATGAGTGAGCAGAACCCATGATATATACTATCCTAATATGACCTTAAAGTATATTGTAATAACGACGTGTGAACGCAAAAAACAAGAACAAAAATAAAAAAGCGACTGTTATCTATGTGCTGTCAAAAGGTAGTAGAACAGAATATAAATGACTAATAAGATAATTATGTTCGATAATTTCTAAACTATTTTCGCTGGTCATTTGAATAATAAAATGAAAGTAGATCGTTTACTTGACTAAAAGCTAAGAGTTGTTCTTTTATTTACGTTGATGGAATAAATGCCACCTGAGATGTTTGAAGATAGAATTGAATGCTAGTTCTGTTAACTACTACTACTACTGTGATAGGCACTTTACAACGTGTGGCGATGTTACTTTGAAACAGGAATTTCTAATTCTGGAAGGAACGGAAAAATATATGGATATTTTTCAATTATCATTTATTTACGACACAAATCATGCTGAAGTTATATAAATTACAATGTTCGTTTTTATTATCGTTACCATAACTAGATACGTTTAATAATGTTGAAATAATAAAACTATTAAACTTTAGACGTGACATATTTACAATTATTATAATAGGCACATAATACTATTAAAAATACACGGTTTTATATTTAAATTCGTTAAAGCTACCTTTAGTTAACTATGAAAACATTTACGGATACAAAACATTGATTACAAATATTCATTTTATTTTAAACATAAAATTGGACCCTACGTAATATGTATGTACACAATAATTGAAATTTCTTTCGAAAACTTTGATGGATGAAAATAGGTAGATTTACAGGTTTAATGTTTGCGTCGTGGCTCAAAGACGCAAATATTAAGTAAATCATCAACAATCATGTAACTAAGCAATTAACGATTGCTAAGAATAAATTAATCTTATTCATTAATCTAAGATTACATTCTTAATTAAAATAAAAATATGTTGCTAAAATTCAGCTACGAGCTTAGAGAGCGAAGCTACCTGGAAAAGAGACAGAATAGGCATGGATTAAAAATTAAATCGTAGTATTTTAATCAGTTTTGTAAAAATAATATATCGTTTTCTTTCAAAGAAATTTTGATTAGTTGTATTGCTGGGAGGCTTGTCAGTTTTGGTTAAACTCGAACCTGGAGGCTGTCAGAGAAATTAATAACATTACAAACTAAACATCTTCAAAGTGGCTTTCTGAAGTTTTGAAAGTTCAGCAGGAGTTTTCAGAGCTTTCGTACATTATGAAGATTTTTTCCGAGAAAATATTTTTAGAGGTAACCTTCTGGACATTCAATATTATTCTTATCCGCTTCACCGGATGTAACATTTACATAATATTTCGTAGCCCTTCTACAACTCTGAGATTTCATTACCATATAATTAAATGTTTTGGAAATACCATTTGTATTGTTTCATTGAACAGGCTGACGTAACAGAACAAACAAAGTAAATACTAAATCGACTGTAAACAACAGTCACTTGTGAAATATTTGGCTAGTTATTTCAATAACGAAGAACGGTTATGATGCAGTGAATAGTTTATGCATAGTACATCCATAATAGGTGTAAACAAAATGGAAGTATTATTACATTTCAAATCAGAAAGACGATTTATGTAAGTTAAGTAGGTACGTAAAACATTCGAAACTTATCCTTGATGTTTGTAGCACTAACAAAAGGCATTAGAGTAAAGTTCCATGAATACTAGAAGATTTTTGCACGTAATCTGTTAATGTTACGTGCCGCTATTACGGGCTCTAGATGGATAAATTGAGGTAGCTCCAAACACAAAGTTCACAAATCCACCTGTGACTAATGCGTCTGGAACATCCAATCCTTTAGTCAAGGTTACGTGCTGAATTAACGTTGCTTTATTAGTTCTAAATTCCAATTTTCAATAGTATTGTTACTGATTGTTATAAGTAAACTGTCTGGCCAACGGCAATCAGGAAAAGATAAGTTCAAAAGTTTCATACTGTGTTTATAGAAATATTGGTTTTTAGAACTCTTTGTGTTATGTGGTTACTGAAGCTGATAGACATAACGCAAAATATCGTCATCCAACTTAACACAATAAAGTGAAGTCATAATGTCTACCATGAGTCTAGCCGTCTAGCCGTGAGGCCTTACGGTTTTGCATTAGTAAATGCCGGTTGGTGATCGCCTTACCTTGGAAAGATACACAGAAATTGCTGCTATATACTGATTGGAAGCCCTTAGTCGTCTTTTATACCCAGGGGAAGAGATGGGGTGGTTCTATACTAGGTTAACACGATAAAAATATTTGTTTTCTTGCATTGTAGACAAGTAATGAAAATGATAATTGAGAGTAGAACCGGTCAATAAATGTTAAGTACAACATAAGTACAACAAGATTTTTATTGGAAAGTATTTATTATAAATCAAAATCATGATGATTAATTGCGCTATATCAACCCGTCCTACCAGTATGCTAGTAGTAAGTAGAAAATCTCGATGATTTTACTTCTCGATTCAGTCGTAATACTTCCAGAGTAGCTGATGTCTGAAGGATGGCAATAGACAGAAGACTGAACGAACAACTTAGATGAACGAGGGATCAAATAAAAGAGAAATAGAAGTGAAATCAGAACCGCTCGTTTTTTATCTTCTATGCACTTCTTTATTGGTCGAAGACTTGGAAACAGCCCATCATGAATGCATTGAGTATTCGAATTCTTGTGCTGGTGAGTGCCAAGAATATTTTTGTATACCCTTAATTGGATTGAGAATGAAACAAAGTTGACACATGTACTAGTGACTAATGGTATACAAATTGTTGATGCGTAAATGAGTTTTAGGTGTGTTTCCTTTTAAAATTATGTTTTTAATTGTTCATGCGGTGGTATGTTTTAACATGAACGTAATTTATAAACGGAATACGTAATTATGTAGATAGCAACTTCAATCCATTTTTTGCATACACTATATAAAAAATATAACGTTATATTTAAAGTGAAAAGAAGTTTGAATAAATTTTTAAATATATATTTTTTATTTTTTTATTGCCCTTGTAAGCAGACGAGCATACGGCCCACCTGATGGTGAGTGGGTACCGTCGCCCATGGACTTCAGCAATGCCAGGGGCAGAGCCAAGCCGCTGCCTACTGAAATACGATACGATATACCTATATTTACATTATAAATAAATACGATATACCTATATTTCAACTTCAAGTTTAGTAAGCTACACAAAAGAACATCTAATGCGATAAAAGTCGATCTAACTCACCTTTTGAACACTTACATGATACTCTCCTCAACCACCCTAATGAGGGCGGGAATTTGTCGCTAAAGCGGCCCAGTGACCTGTTTGTGACAGAAATAATAAATCATTAGACATTGCGACAACACTCGTAGTACGCAACGGTGCAATCCATCACCACACAGAGCGTGTCCACATTACTCAAATTAATTCATAACGATAGACATTTTAAATGTATTTTTAAGTGATCATTTTTGTCGAATATAGATAAATACCTATCTAAAAAGGTATTTATGTGTGTTTTAGATTCATAATTATTTGTGTATTTGGTAAGAACTCATGTAGTTTAGACATACACGAACGTAAACTGTTTGTATAAGAAAACCAAAGCGATATAAAGCGCAGATAGAGTTCTTTATAACGGTTAATTTTTTTGAAAAAATAATTCCAAAAATGCCAACTACATATATATTTAAGAAATATTCGGTGATTCGCATTAACTCCAAAATTTAGTAACGAATGAGAGAACGTTTAAGGTTCCTTCTCAAAAACGTAATTGTTTCAATACATCACAAGACATAAATTCCATAGATAATTTTACCTATTGGTCAGGATTTGTAAGAACGCATGCTCCGGCACACTTCAAAGTATTTTTCAAGCTTTCCTTTCTGGAAACCATTGAGAAATTATTTAAGGTATAATACAGAGCTTCAACAATTTTCAACGAAGGTTGAGAACGGCTTCTTTGGAATGTAGCAAAAAATTACATTTATATTTAGTTACTTATCATTATTATTGTATGTGTAATTAATTTCTTTTGACTTGGTAACTAATAATTTTCAAGGTTATTATAATTACAGCTCAAAACGTCTAAGTGTATGTAACTGGAATCTGAATCTTTACCGACAGAATCTAGTATTTTAAAATGTAAGGTAGGAAACCGTTGCTAAATATTTACGTATAATATATATGTACATCCTGAATTAGCAACATTATATACTTGACATTGGCGAAATCTAAAAGGAAACGCCATAATCCTAAGAGATAGATAGATAGATAGAATTAGCAACATAGTGTGCATGACGAACCGCCATATTTTTTTGAACAATAAATATTTTTCGTTGAATTCAAGGACCAAACATCTCCAGTAAGGCAGTGAGAAAGATGTACGTTGTTATCTCGGTACAACAATGAAAGCGACTTTGAAAATATTATCGGTTTTGCTGTATAAATAATTGGCACATTATGGATTTTCTGTCCAGTTTTTCCTTTTTGTCGCATTCTCCAACCTTGGATTGGTGTAAGAAAATGCCGGTTTAGCCAACCCGCATTTCACTAGGTCCTATCTCATAATCTTTGGCAGCTGGTCAAATGGACAGCAAAACCATATATGTATATGTATTTTAGCACTAGATGGATAAACGAGCATAAAGCTTACCTAATGTTAAGTGTACCAAAGCCCATGTAACAACATAAATCCCTCTGCATACCTTGAGATATGAAATAGGCAGAATAATGGAGACTCAAATAACGCCAAGTAAAACGAATATCTAATTACTTTATTTCAGTTCACCAAAAATCTCCGACGCGATTTCAGCATATTATTGAGTTTTTTAAGATCTTCTTTAATTCAATAGCAGACAACACTAAAATAAGAAGCAATACATTTTCTTCTGTGACATTTAGTTATTAAAGTTAGTGTTTAATTATTGGATGTTAAATAAGTTATTTTATCCACATTCTCATATAAAGAGGATAGGTACCTACCTATGTGTCTGTATACCGCTAATCCTAATCTCATCTTTACTTCTTCTCTTCATTTCAACTTTGCCTTAAATTCATTGAAACACATCTATAATTGCACACATGATTTGTGTACGCTGCTGTTATTTAATTGAAGCTTAATTACTTGAGTGGTAGGCTCCAATTTCGCAGCAAATTTGGCTGGTTCTTCGGCGGCGTACAACATTCGTCTGGCCAGGCGAGCGAACGTGCACCTGAACTGACGGCTCATGCTGCAGTACAGCACGAAGTTCACGGAGGACGTGAAGAGCGCCAACATATCCATGAGGTCGCCTGATAACAAACACAAGTTTTTTATACTTTTAGAAGTCGTCGTGGCCTAAGGGATAAGACGTACGGTGCATTCGTGTTGAGCGATGCACCGGTGTTCGAATCCCAGGCGGGTACCAATTTTTCTAATGAAATACGTACTCAACAAATGTTCACGATTGACTTCCACGGTGAAGGAATACATCGTGTAATAAAAATGAAACCCGCAAAATTATAATTTGCGTAATTACTGGTCTGGTACTGGATAGGACCTCTTGTGAGTCCGCGCGGGTAGGTACCACCGCTCTGCCTATTTCTGCCGTGAAGCAGTAATGCGTTTCAGTTTGAAGGGTGGGGCAGCCGTTGTAACTATACTGAGATCTTAGAACTTATATTTCAAGATGGGTGGCGCATTTACGTTGTAGATGTCTATGGGCTCCAGTAACCACTTAACACCAGGTGGTCTGTGAGCTCGTCCACCCATCTAAGCAATAAAAAAAAACTTCATGCTTGTAAACAAGACCGCTTTTGACTGACATGAATTCATAAGAGATCTGTAATTTTTTGTATACGTCAAATTTATTTTAGAATTACGTTAAAAAAAAAATCTCCGCTACATGATATAATGGGCAATCTTTTTTTATGATTGAGAGCTTACTACTGGCCCTGAGGCCTTTCCAGTTTCACAAGGACAGGTGGGCGAGCAAGGGCTCAGCCAGAAGGGGCGGCATTTGCTAACAGCTACCCGAGCGCCTTCAAGGAAGACCCAACAACTCAAGAGTAAATGCTTCGCGAATGAATATTGGACAATCATATACTCTTACACACTCTGAAGACTATTAGAACGCTTCTTGCAGAAGAACACGTAATTAATAATTACAAACTGCATTAGAATTTATTCAGATTATTGTGTATTTATTTATCATATATGCATGTACAAATGTAGTTAGAGTAGATTAACAAATAAGAAAACTGTCAAACATTCGAAAAACTTTTAATTTACAGCACCGAAATAGTTCCCGAGGAACGTCGCTTCTCTCATTTCTGGTAATGTGGTGCTCAACTTTTATAACTTCCAAGAGTAGTTCGCATTAACGTTGGTAACATTTTAGCCAAACTAAATAGGATGGCTGAAACGTACTTCTAACTGAGTTTTGACCTAGAACTATCTCTTTGTTGTAGAATTTTAGTGTTAAATCATTAAAAAAATAATAGAATAAGTTTTGGACAGCCACAAATTTACTATATTCAATCTACAAAACTATATTATTCATAAAAATTACATCAGTCTTTGAGATTAGCTAATATAATAAAATAGTCACTAGGCATGACCTTTTAAACCCTTAAGACGAGTTTTTTGGGAACAAAAAGTCGGGTGGAATATTTCAGAGTACAATTTACCTCATTCGTTTTTACTTTGGTTATTTTTTCTGACATAAACAACGTTTACGGTTTGTTAATTTAAGTAGCGGATTTTTTTAGTCTCCTTTCTAACTACTATGGAGTGGTATCAGATGATTTTAAAAAATAAAGCCCGCATCCAAAACTCTTTATTCGTCTTCGGACGTGGAAAAAACCCATTGCATTGGAATAGCTGTTCTACAAAAAGTTGAAAACATGACTACCTCGTAAAGGACATTGGCTGGATGATGGTTCCAATTTTCTGGGGCACATGACTTCATTACAGATGTTTCTATTAGGCTCATATGATTTCACCAAACTATAAAAACCCTTAAATTTACCAAAAAAGAAGTCTGTTAAAATTATTACTGAAAAGCTCACTAGATATAAGCGTGAAAGCTCAATTGATACTCAGTTTCTTAGATAAGCATAAAGAGCTATTTGTCGTTTTAATAAGTTCCTATTTCACGAATAGGAAATCTAAAGAGAAGGCAGCGGATCGCCCAGAATCTGCGCCGCCGTGTCGCACTAGACTAATCTAAAATATAACTTTTGGATCGCAACGTTTTAATATCAACATTTAAGAGGTATCCACCATTAACTCCAATGGTCTTGGTTTTAATTCTCATTTGATTTTGGATGCTACGCGTCATTTAATCACTACATTTAATGGTTACGTAATTCCAATTAAGTATTCTCATGTTTGCTATACGTGCATGCATGACAGTGTGATTATATTTGTTTTATTGTTGATAAGTCACGTCTGTTGTATGTAGGTGTTGCGATCAAATTGATTTGATAATTCTCTTGTTCGTGTAGCATAGTCATTAATTTAGAAAGCTAACGTATCTTCTTTCCTAATGTTCGTAGGATTGCGGAGTCGGATTAGGGCGCTTAGGGGAAAGCTATTGTGTTCACGTCTTTAGATTATCTCTGTTATTTGAGTTGTAAATAGCGCCCATTTCTCATCTCAAATATACTAGGTTAACGGTGAGTTGCTCATGCTGATTTTAAAAACTCTGTTATATAGAGGATTTTCCAAATAATTCCTAATCACAAAATAACTTAATTTTTAAACGAAATAAAAATACGCTGCTTTCGAGAATAATTGAATATTTAAAACTCAAGCGGTTGTAGTAGAGAGTTACAGCAGAGATTCACATTAATATGTACCTCAATTTACTTTCCTTCCTTTAAAAAGATTTTTCATTAGACGGGTACTAGTAGGGGGATCAAAATTTACAATGACCAGTTGTTCAGCTATTCATTTACCCTCTTATTAATCGCTTAACCAATAAACAATTTACAAGATTGAAATCGGAATATTATATTGATTGAAAGTTTTTTTATGATTGAAGATTTACGGTGGCCTGGACGACTTTCCAGTTTCACCATTGAAAACATGAAATGAGCTGCAGTATTCTCATACAGTCCCCTGTAAAAATAGTTTTAATTATGTCAAAGACTCGCAATGGTGGCGTGGATGCTTGGCGGCGATGTATCCTGGAAGGTTATGATTGACTTCTGCGAGTGCACCATCTTGCAGAAGGAGGCAGCGGGGCGAGTGAGGCAAAGCTCTCCTCACTACGCAGAAATCCACCATCGCCGAGCAGGTCGGGACCAGTGTAGCTTCCGTGACTCGGGCCCCTAGGAGCCCGCTTTGAGCGGGGAGGGACCCAGGCATGGGGCGGCGTGCTTTGCACACTCGCCCGCAGTAGGAAGCCGGGTGATGGCAGATCAACTTCCCCCGATCGCTTCGGGGAAGGTGTAGCGCGGCGCCATCAAAGTGGGCTCTCGTTCCGCCGACCGCGGGAACCTGTGGTGGTGTCGCCGGTGGCCACCTGTCCGGCGTCTGGTTGACGGCGGGATGGATGTAATATGCTCTGCGTCAACACTGTCCCGCCGTCTCAATAGCCTCGACTGGGCTTCGGCCCGGTCTGGGGTAGGGCGCCGGTTATGAGCGGCAGGAGTTTTTAATGAGTTTCAACTCCCACATACCCCACCTGCCGCGTGGGTAACCCTACCCACGGGCGATTTTCTCATGTGGAAAAAAAACGGCTCGCAAAATAGGAAAGAATGAAAAAATGTCTTGGAACTTCATGGTATTTTGATACTTTTTAACTGACAAAAAAACGTTAGGTAATTATATTTTGTTTTGAATAATTACAAACTCTTAAATGAAAATATAATTGATCTCCCATTAGCTAGAAGAGGTGTATTTTTATCGCAGAAAACATCCGTTAAGAATGCAATCGCCATACTTCCAACGGAAGCGGTGTTTCTAATTTACCGGAATATACAAAACCGGCAGATGCGACAGAGCGAAAAGATTTTGAACGATTTTAAAATTCTAGGTGGGATTTTTTGTTGAAAGCCTTTGTGTTATACCTATATGAAAAGAAAAACGATATCTTTAATAAATTACAATGTGTGGTAGGGAGTGTCAGCCCCACGTAAAACAAAAATGTATTCAGACGAAACATGAGACAGAGGTGTAGCGCGTTGTAATAGCATGTTATTATTGAACATACATTTTGTTTATTTTTGCTTATAACAAGCTGCTTTTAATCTAGTTTGGTTGTTTTGGCAAATTACTTTGTTTGTATTACTAGAACCAAATTGTTATTAGCACCTACCTGTACCGCATTTGACGTTAAGCGCAAGAAAAATCGTATTAAAATTAGATACATAGAACTGAGGACTATCGGGTTTTAAAATACTAAAACGTTGTTTTTAAATAGTTCTGGAGTGGATATTGCCATTATTTTGTATAAAATCTCGACAAGCTTAATTCGAAAGTTGTTCAAATTCTTAATCATTTATTTTCATCGGTATATAAAACTAGATATGTTGATATTTCGTTTACTAGATGAGTTAAATAGCTTGTTGGGACTGAGACGTATCTCACTTGATGATGAGACAAGCGGTCGAACCTACAATTAGATACCTTTTATTAGTTTGGCCTTTAACTTATTTCCAAACATTTACACAAAATATTATTTAGTTATCAGCAACATGCTTCGTCAAAAAGTACACAATACTTACTTTCAGCTACAAGCATCCTCATACAATTAGTTCGCAATACAATTAGATTGTGTTGCAAATGTCCTACCCTTAACGCAGCACCCACTAATGCTCCGCGAGCGTATTAGACCCTTAACGACACACCTACTAACGCTCCGCGAGAGTATTAGAAATGGGATCTTATACTATTAGATAGAATTTTTGTGGATCTAAACTTCTATTCAGATTACGTTAGAGAACAAAATCTAACATAGAGAGAGCACGTAGCACGGGGACGTGTTGTGAAAATAAATTGGGAGTACAAACAAAATGGGAAATGGAAATATTGAACCATATAATAATAGTATATCAAATTGTCCCTTAAAATAAGCCTACAATTTGAACCAAGGACATTAAAAAAAAAGGTACTTTTTCTGATTGTAAAAAACTTTGAATTGAGTCTTTTCGAAATGAATTAATTTAATTATTAAGTAAAGAAAATAAGCTACAAAAAGTACTACTTACTTTGTTGTGACAGAGAATGGAATTCTAAATTTCCAAATTAATTTACTAATCCAAATACTTATTTTAAATTACTAAGCCACGGTAGAAAGTTACTTTAATTGTTTCACTCAAAAGTAATTAAATCTTAACCCAATCCATTATGTTTTGGTTTAATAAGTTTCTACCTAATTTAAATAACCGAACGTGATTTTCCTAGTGTACCGGTTAAAGCCTTAATCATTATTTTTTTTAAAAAAGTTTAATACATGCTTTCTAAGTACTGTAGTTGAAAGCATAAACCTGTTACAATGTATTATCTTTCACAGTGAGAAACATATTATAAGTCATGGACCATGCTATAAATTTTCTAGTTCCAAAATTCAATCAGCTCCACTTTATATGTCATCTGAAGTACACGGAAATGGAATGTTTCATAATAATGGGAGGTGACGAAGATCCATGGGAGATGAATTAAGCTGGTTTTCAGCTCACAGACATCCACTGCTGCTCAAAGGCATCCTCTAAGCCTCGCTACAACGATTGGATCTGCTGATTGGATTTAAATAGGTCATCCGTCTAACTTGTGGGAGGCCTACCCACGTTTTTCGGCACGTGTAGAGTTTTTGGCCCCAGCAGGCATCTGTTCTACGAGCAATGCACCCTGCCCACTGCCACTTCAACTTCGCAATCCTTTCAATTGTGTCGGATATCATGGTTTTTCTGCGAATCTTCTCATTCCTGATTCGATCTTGCAGGGAGACTCCAAGTATAGTCCTCTCCATTGCTCTTTGGGTGACTTTGAGTTCACCACCACAGGTTTTGGTGGAGGTTTAATCAATACTAGTGGTGGCGCAGTAGTCGAAATTCGACTATAATTAATTGAAATTATAAGCTTGAACATTATTATGGTTATATTGTCAAAGACAAATAATATTAAAGATAAAATTAACCTATTCTCAATTTGACCACAGACTTTAAGCACTAACTAAAGTTTGACAATAAACAAAGAGTATATATACATATGTGTGTGTGTGTCAAATACATGGCAGTGTGTGTAATGTTCTTTTTATTGATTTAATGTATCTTTTATGCATTATTTAAAAAAAATATTAGCGTTGTGCGCTCCTTCTCTATATTCTGTGGAATATTCTTCTCTATTTAAGTGTGGAAAATTTCATACTCCTCCGTCCGCGCAATTTTCGTAAAAAAGGATACAAAGTTTTTGCTTCACGTATTAATATATATATAGATACAATCGAATTTAGAAATATTTAAAAAAAAAATTGTCGTTCACTCACGACGTCGTTCTATCACAATTTGATATTATAATATGTATGTCATGCAATTAAAAATGTTGCTAAATTTCAATATTATATTATATAATTATTATATTGTAGTTCATTTAAAATAGACCTTAAATACAAAATCATACAAAATATTACGAAGCCAAGAACTGTAGCAATTTCATATCATTCATCTGTTGCTCTTTGATCTCGTAAAATATGGAAATTGGAGAGTCGCTATCAGCATATTGGTAGGGCATGAATCGTGTTTTTCAGTCTTACATGTTGAATTATTTGTCAACGATTTCATAAAGGTTAAAAATTTTAGTCAACAGCTAAGGGCCCGATAAATGGACTAAAATTTTCCAAGTGTCATAACTTCGACAACAATGAAAAAAAAAATTATTTATCTATGGAAAGATTTTTTGGCGGGAACGCGAAAGCGAAGTTCTGTTGTTTTATTTTGTCTATTTAATGTTTCACCGCCCTGCCTATATCTGGCGTGAAGTAGTAATGCGTTTCGGTCTGAAGGGTAGGGCAGCCGTTGTATCTATACTGAAATCTTAGAACTTATATCTCAAGGTGGGTGGTGCATTTAAGGTGTAGATGTCTACGGGCTCCAGTAACTACTTAACACCAGGTGGGCTGTAAGCTAGTCCACCCATCTAAGCAATAAAAAAAACTTAAATGTGTAATAACGGTGGTCTATTAACCGTTTAGTATCTTTAAAAATGCACAAATGTGGGGAAAATTTGATAAAGCCGCTGGACGTAGCTTCTCGGGATCCCCCAAAAAAGTCCACTGAAAGAGTTTCAGTAAATAGCAACCATTTTACCGAGTTTATATTTCATCCCATATCATCTCATCACATTTAATTTCATTTAATTTCATGCCAATTGATTAATGTTCCATATTAATCAACCTCATTTCGTTTCACTTCATATTAAAAATTTCCCTAAAAAAACAGTTATAAAAAAATTTGGCTGTATAGTAAGATACTTTTGCCTTTCCAGTTGGAAAAATAGAACTGCTACTACTATCTATGAAAAGGATTAACTACAAGTCGTTTTTTTAATATAGCGAAACAATTTCACTATGCGGAGGATTTATTTATAATATTAAAATGGAGTTAATCGATATTCTATCTACCTTTAGCTACCAAGAAAAAATGAAATACTTTTGTTCTCTCCTGTTTCCGATACGTCAGTACGGGAGTATAAAATATGTGAACCATTTAACATATTCTATGTACTTACTCCGAGATTTTATCGTACAATACGGGTCTTCCCAGAATTTCATAAGTGAATTTTGAAGCTAAATTTTGTTACTTTACATTGGTTATCAAAGGCAAAAATGAAAATAAATTACTGAAGCAACGAAAATCAATTTAAGAATACATCGGAGTCTTTTAATTAATTAGTTAATTAAAACGGTACGAGATTTCAAAGAACAAATTTACTCTTGAACCTTAATACATAACTTTATATACGTAACTAAATACGTAAAATACGTAACGTTCAAAAATATCATGAAGGTTAATTAATATTGAAGAGTGTGCGTAAAATATAGCTGTATGGTTGCACGCTATGTGTGAAGAAATATGTACATAATATGTACATACGCTAGTTGCATTCATTGCTTAGTTTCTTTTTCATAAATGTTATAAAAAATCATAATAAAACTTGACGTGTACTGTGAAGTGTTCGTATCGGCAATAAAATTGACAGCGAATACACATTTCTGGAGACGGCTGTAAAAGCCGTAATCTGTTTGATGCATTAACCATTATTACCAGTGATAAAATCATAAATAGTCCGCCACTTTGTATACACGTTGAAACGCCAGAAAAATCCAACAACGATCGCGCATCGGTTCGTTTTACGACTACCGTGAATTAGCTATAAACATTTTTATTCGGACCCAACGTCACAAACAACATGTACACTTTAAATTGAACGGTTGAGAGATAGCAAAATAGGGTTTCATGACCTCTGTCCGTCATAAAACGAAATGTAGGGACACGACGTCCTTTTCATTAATTAACGACGTAGGTACTCTTTAACGATTCCACTTCAGCGGGATTCAGACCTTCCTGACACTCGATTATATAATTATTTATACAAAAATCCTTTGCTGTTTTTCAAATTGGCACTGTCAACTTCAAATCTTCTTCATTGCAAACATCAAATTCATTGAAACTAATAAGTCTTTACTTTCATAAATTTCATTGTTCATTCGTTCATTCAAGGCTCTCAATAATAATTTATATTATAAATTCCATCCGTTAGAGATAATCTAAGCAAAACTTATTTAATCAATGTTGATCTGCGTGTCGGTTATAAGTTAAAACGATTGAGCTTCTAAGAGATTAGTAACCGAAAACCGGTCCTAATTTATTTTGATGAGTAGGATACTTATAATAATTAAAATACATAATATTTGTTGAGATAATGCTAGAAGACTTGCTTGAACTACCAATTATGAAAAGTTTAATTTCAACGGCAAACTGAGCAATATGTCAAATATTTGTTTGTTTCTTAATCTACTATCAAGAACAAACAAAAAAAAATCATTATCACATAATGTGTAATATAGTAATATATTTATACCAGTAAGCTAAATAGCTGGAAATATTTAAAAAGATGACCAGAATTTATATTTAACTAAAAGTTGTTCGTGGCTTGCCCAGTGTTTGCCAAGCCCTCTGGCGGACCCCGCCTACGTTCAGACCGTCGAGGTGGTCCGCCCCGTCCTGTCGGACTGGGTGAATCCTGCTGTTTCGGCTGCTACCTGCACTTCATCACCCGGAGGGAGCCGAGAGTACCACCACACCACTGCAGTGGCTGCGACGAAGACACGGCGGAGCACGCACTCGCGTACTTACCTACATTCTTCTAAGAGAATCTTCCTGTCATTTGCGGCGACATAAGTGTCCCATATGTTAATATAAATTTGTACGAATGTCATCTAAATCAGTTCAACTATATTTTCGTGATTTAGTAAAAAACATACAAACATATAATACAAACTACTCGTACAATATTAGTATAGGGGAATTTATCTTAATATATATAAATAACGTGTCACGTTGTTTGTCCGTGATGAACTCCTAAACTACTTAACCGATATTAAATTAAATTTGTACATTGTGTGCAGTTTGATCCAACTTGAAAGATAGGATGGTTTTTATTTCGATTAATGGTCGCAATATTTATTAATTAACAATAAAATGATTTCTTATATTGATTTCTGTTATTAATTGTAAGTTTCATAAGTCTAAAACAGATGGCGCCTTAAATCAGTTTTTACAGACAATTGTAATACTGTCTGACATTAATAACTCATAGATGGCGCTGTGTTAAAAATACCAACGTTTCACATAAGCTACAATTTAATAGCATAAACACCACGTGTTGCTGAGACTAAAGTATAAGTGAAATTTATTTCATAGTAAACGCAATACAGTGAAATTCAATTGTTCTTACTTTGTCAATTTTTGGTATTAGTATAGCCGGCCGCGTGTTATTTAGAAACAAAAACCTTAGCCACAGCAACGCGTGGCCGGTTCTATTAGTAATAATATAAAAGCAAGAGCTTTATTTCTTACCGAACATACTGTAGCAGTTTTTGAAAAAGTCCGGAGCTACTGCGCTTGCTAGTCCAAGTAGACCTTGAGGCACTTCTGTAGAGAGGAAGAGGCCTAGCACGGCCAGTAGCATCCGTGTGGTGCGGTCTGTTCGGCTGGATCGACGTGTATTTGAGTCATCTGCAAGACACTGCTTTTCTGGCTAAAAACAAAACACACAAATAAATAAATTTTAATCATTAATCTCCCAGTAAAACACGCTTTTTGGCTGTATTTCCAGATAATTTTGCCTACTAAAAATACATAGCATTTGATATATCGACGTGAATCGTCTGTGACTTAATAGATAAAACGCTGGAAGTGTTACTATTAAGTGACAATATCATCTTCGTCATCATTATCATTATCATCAGCATTGCTCAATTTTGCCAAAATTACTGATCCTGTACCGCCGTTGTCCAGAAAATTCCCACGACTCTCGATGTCGTCCGTTACTGGAGTCCCATTCACGCTGCGTCTTCCAAGGCGCGGTTGCCACTCGAAAAACTTTTTGGTCTGAGCGGCCATTTATTCTACGAGCAATTTGTCCGGCCTACTGTCATTGCAATGGTACTATGTCAAGGCTCAAATGTTCTAACGGGGACTAATTTTTTGGTAAGTTGTAACATATCTAAAACTTGTTTACGGACGACTGCCAAGATGAAGGACTTAGTCCATTATCGTGCAATAACTTTATATTGTAAGGTATTCTGACCTTCATGAACACTGCGCTTCATTTTGTAACGAAAATATGTATAATCTGGACGTGTACAGCGCATATATACAGTCACCATGTATGCCAATAAGCCGACCTTAAGATATGAAGTCTCAATAAAATTGTATCTTAATGCTATCTTAGAGCACATGCACAATAACAGGTTTTACCTATGAAGTTTACTGTTTTACTATACTGGCCATTTGAAAAGTTAAAAAAAAATGAATCCATTATTCTCAAATTCAGTCATTTATTAATTAATTAGTGTTTTATTTTCACTAAATTTCTATAGTTTTAATCAAAATGGACTCAATAACAATACGAATCGTTATGGAATTATTATAATAGTCACCAGTTGCGTCACGTTAGCATTGCCCGCGCAAACGGCTCACAACATTAGTGACGTGTAAGAAGTAAACACTACAAACTAACACACGAACGCCTTATTGGTTTAGACGCTTCCTACCTGGAAATTTTGATCTAAAAAATGTATCCGGTGGTCGCTCGAAAACTAAAGCCTACCATAACGGATTAAAGACGATAGTGCAAGCTAACGATACTCAATCTACCGCTGAGCTAGTAGCAGCTTTCAATGTTAGCATCAAAACAATATTGGTCCATTTCCGTCAAATTGGCAAGTTAAAAAAACTTGACAAGTGGATGTGGCAAGAACTGAACGATCGCCAACGCGACGAACTTGTTAAGGTATGTCTTGAGTTGCTTAACAGGCCCAGAAACGATGGGGTTTGTGAACCACATTGTCACTAACCATAAAAAATAGATTGTTTTTGATAATCGTAAGAGGTCATTACGTTGGTTAGTACCTGGTTCAGCACCTAGGCGATACCCGAAGCGAACATTTACCCCTAAAAACTCATCATCACCGTTTGATGGTCTAGTGTCGGTATAATTTATCATAGATTCTTACTAAATGGTACCAACATTACGTCAGATATGTACTGTGAGGAGGTGGATACAAAGACGGAGAAGTTCGTGAAACTCCGGCAGCCTTGGTTAATACCTCGTCCCCACTGCTCCCACAGTACGTCGCAATGGAAGTATTGCGTCATTCAAAGCTCTTACCAGATTTTACACCGACAGACCTACTATTTCCTAAGTTTGGAAAACTTCTTGGGAAAAATTCAATACGCGAGAGTAAAATGCCCTTGAAAAGCTTGCTGGCTTCCATACACCTAACTTCTTGAAATAGGGCATTGAAAAATTACCACTTCGCTGGCAGAGATGCATCGATATAATGGGTGGACAATTTGATTGACATACATAAAAAACATTTTAAAAAAACATTAACTTTCTGTATACTAAACGGTAATTTTGTAATTAAAGACCTAATGTATCTTATGATTAGACCAAAATAATCTATCTTGGTCTAATTGAACATTTATTTCTTAACTACCAATAGTAATTAAATTGTACCCTCGCTTAAATATCCCGCAGCTGTCGTCAATTAATAGGACCACTAATTTGAACGTAGTTGGACCCTTAAAGCTATGTAATTCAGTTTTGTAGTAATGTAATGTTTTTGTATCCGATTGAAGAAAATGAATGCGGCCTTTAGCCATCCTGAAAAGGCAGCTTCATTTATGTTATCAATGCCAATGGTTAAACATGGTAAGGCATTATACCAATAAAGCACAGTCTTTTACCAAGACAAATTTCTCGACGACCGTGATCTCCAAATATCGAATCTGAATGGCCAGTATTTTGACGATTAAAATTCTATGCTTTATTTTAATATCAAATAAAGTAATTTCATATCAAAATCAATGACTGAACAGATAAAGAAAATGGAGTCCAATGTTTATAACACTAAGTTGGTGGAGTATATGTTATTGGTGAGGTGGCGGTGGATTCATAAATATAATGGCACTTGCGTTATGAGCTGCTATGCTATTAATAGTGTCAATAATAGTTATTGGTGAGGCGGCAGAATATACATATGAAAGCTTCTTCTCGTTGCCAATCGATTTGTAGAGTAAACGACACCAGAGTCGACGCATAAATAATTGAACATATCAATATCTTGAATGAAATGGATTCCTATAGGACATGAAGGGTTGTCTCGCGTAGGCTGCCTGCTCGTATCTGCATAGATACGAGCAAACAACCCATAACATCGAGCATTTGTATGTTGATCAATCGCAATAAGGTCACTCGACAACTTGAATGAGTACGAACCTAATATCAGAAACTGCGGGCACGAAACTACGCAATAATCTTATCTCTATCATAATTTCAACCCTACTGAGATTGTTTAAATTATTTTTGATTTAATGAGTTGCTGCACCGTGCAACTTTTATTAAATTATAAAACAATTAAATTCTTCTTTTGTATTTTGCAGATATATATTCCTTAATACATTGTAATTTAGGGTACAAATGCCTTAACTGATACAAACCTACTAAAGTAAGTACTAAATGTGCAGTAACATAAAATGCTAGCCGTAATCGCCCGCTTCGCTGAGAATTTCAAATTAACATTATTATTAATTGTCATTATTATTAGGAAGTCCAACACTCAAATAAATATTAACCTATCCATTAAGTACATGTATGTTCTACATGGATACCAAGTTTCAAGTCAATCGAATGTATGGTTCAATAGTTATAACGGAACATCCGTAAAAACCACTGTAGATTTATATATTAGTATAGCTAAAGTGGATAATGTTACGTTATCTTCAATAATAAAAACAATATTTTATAACAGAATATCAGTGGAAACGTGAAAATTGTTGACTTATAGGTTTTACGCCAAACTTAATAAGCTTTGAGTTCTTCTTGCTGAATCATGCTTCAATATTGAATATTGAATTTCTATAGATCCCTGACGACAACTTTTTAAGCTGCTATCCAGCAAAATAATGCATTAGGCCAGCGGTATCCAAGTCGTCTCGTTACTTTATTAAGCTCTAAATAAGTTAGTAGTAAGTATGTAGTTATAAGCTAGTAGGAGTAGTAAGTATGCTATCACAGATGTCTATTCAACTTACCTCATTTGGCCCAACTGTTGATCGCTTGAGAAGATTTTGCCTCCTTCTCTCAGTCGTTGTCAACTTAGATATCAAACACGTACTCAGTATCGACAACGCTATACTCGGAACTAGTTTTAATATTACACTGTAAATCCACATGATCGCTGTGACTAATTCAACGTTTTTGGACATTTCTAATAGATAAACGGTCCGATTTTGGGGTAAAGCTAAGTCCTCTGCAAATTCGGAATTGTTCTTCGATGTCACTTCACTAGGCACGATGGTCATAGCGAAATAAATAGGTAAACACAAAAAAGGACAGATCACGTACGCGCTCACTATAGCGGTTATTGTATTTTTCCTGTTGCACCACGTTCTATTTCGTTGTGGAAACGCAATGGCAACATAGCGCCAAACCGCCAAAGTCACAGCCAGCCAAATTGAAATAGTGTGGAACGTTTGACTAAATATTGAGTGGAAGTAAACAAAGACTGTCCATGCATACGTATTCTTGTTCACTTGAGGTCCTATTTTGATATTCATATGAAGAGCGTAAGGGATGTATTCAAGCATGACGAGAAGGTCTGCAACGGCCAGTCCAGTCAATATGGAATTCGTGGAGCTTGACATTTCCCGACGACTCAAAACAGCAATGTTTATGGAGTTCGTTGCGGACCCGACGATGCATATCACTAGTGCGATATAGCCGTGAAGTCTGCTGTACGCCTTGTTGAAATTTGTGGCGCCGGGCACGCAATATGCGTCGGTGTCGTTCGCCATACTCTTCAACTAATGTAGCCCCACCACAGCAAGTCATCGGCTCTCTTCGAATTTATCTCTCTTCGCTCAATCAGAGTTGTATTCTTCCACTTTCGATTGATCTATAAATAAAATAAGTACTATCACAAAATTGAATCACATGTTTTAAATTAATCCTCTGGGCAGAGGAATGTACATTGTCTGCCTAAATCGAAATTGACGTATGTGACACGTAGAAAAGATTGACCAGCGCGACTGTAATTGAGTAACAATGGGCGCTAAATTCTATTGATGGATACTGAGTAATTTTAGTGACCGTGAAAATTCGACACGAAATCAGAGCATTCCTTTGCAGAATGGCATGCTCTTGTACACATTCGATAAAACCTCAAGGCCGAACGCAAACGTCGAGACGTGTGTGTAACTATTGTAAATATTTTTTGATCATTCACAAGGCCTCGTCATTTACAAATACAGGTGTCAAACGTGGCTAGAGATCTTCTTTGTCAGATTTTTAATAAACGAAACAAATAAATAAATAAAAACACTTTTTCCAAAAACTGCATTCAAACTAGTCGTAAATGACGTTGCAGTTATTATTATAAAAATGATCTGAAGGAAGAGTAGGCGTCTGAGGAGAAGTCTCGTCATCTATCAGTGAGCATGCCAGCTCTTTAACGATGGGATGTGATGTACCATGGTTTTCTAATAAATTACTTGGTTTTTCGTATTTAAGAGCTACCTCATCTTTAGAGGGGTAAAATTATTACATACCAAAACGAGATTGATAATTAATGGACGTTAATTAATTGTATGTACGAAAAATCTACTTTTTTTTTTATTGCTTAGATGGGTGGACGAGCTCACAGCCCACCTGGTGTAAAGTGGTTACTGGAGCCCATGGACATCTACAACGTAAATGCGCCACGCACCTTGAGATATAAGTTCTAAGATCTCAGTATAGTTACAACGGCTGCCCAATGCTGCTACATTGCTAATATTTACTGGTTTTTACGAGTAAAAGGAAGGAAACCTTTCAGAAAATATGTCTTCAAAGTGAAATTACATTAACATGACTCTAAAATGTGTTAGCATGAATTGGAACCATCTACGTGCTGTGGCGAACACTAACGAAATTATCGGTCGTGGCCCATAGGCGAGGTGAATTAGGTGAATTAATAGAGACATCGTACCAAAATTTGATGGAGAAATAAGAATTTTAATGGCAATTTTAAGCCGATATTTGTCGTATAAAATGTACATGCATTCGAGAAATACTTTTAACTTAATCATTTTATATTAAAATTTTATCTGAGTAGTGAATCTCATTAAAATTCTTTCATTAAAGTGCTACACATTATTATATAAACTGTTTAAAATGTCTGCATAGTTTCGTGTCAATGTGTTTGTGTGGTGACTGCGTATGCGTGTCTGTGTTCACGTGGTCCAGAACCATTGGTTTTCAAGCCTTCAACCTCAGTTCCTAAGGCAGAATTCTCCGTATGATATCTACATATAAGCTTTAATAGCGTCTTAACACAGGATGTGAAGGAATCTTGTTCATATTATGTTCCTCTTAATGAATATAAATAAACAATCACATCTTATTAGATTGAGTTGAAACTTTGTACAGTTAGATTGCATCTGTTTTTTTTTCCATATAGCAGAATTGTTCTCAACACATAGATATATCTCAAATATGATGGTAACGAAGTACGACCGGGGTTCGCTAGAAAATATATTATTGCATGTTTCATAGTTTTAAAGAAGCACTTTCTCAAACTTTCTCGAAAAGGGGACGAAAAAAAAAGCAGCAGCTTGAAATTTTGATTTGCTTCAGGGAAAAAATAGTGACACTTTTGGATGGAAGAAGTATAGTCCATATTTTCTCTTAAACTACGAAGATCGATTCGAGCACGGAACCATTTCATTTGAATTTTGAATAGCTTAAAATAATACGAATCTTTAACCGTTTCTTAAATAAGTCACTTACCATCCACGTAAATGGATTAACTTGAATATACAGGACTTTAAAACGAAATCAGTTATAGCTCAGACTTGATTAATATTCAAATGCATCGAATTCTGAGTACGCAAGTAAGCAAGAACAGAATGAAATAGTAGAATTTAAAGTTTCGTATAAATTAATCATAGACCCTACGTGAATATCCGTCTTGAGACATGAGGTCGTATTCCCCATAATACTGTTTCATGGCTGTCTCAGTTTCACAAACCCACCTACATGATCGCTTCGTAACAGAAATTGGTAGGATGGTGGTAAAAATACGTGCGGACTTACAATACGCCTTGCCATCAGTACATGCCAATTAGCGATTGTTTAACCATATAAGTAATAAAAAAAAAGAATGTCTCTCTTCCACTAGTGACACGACTATCGAAATGCACTTCCTAAACTAACTTAGTAACGTAACAAAAATAGTAACTTAACTGATTTTATCTATTAGATAATATTAAGCCAATAATAATCCATCACAATCGAAAATAGTCTTTAACACTAGGCAATTCTTTTCAAATTGAACTATCGTCATCACATCATATAATATTTTAGTTATATACGCCGTCATACGTAAGCCGCAGCCAAACACTATGTGTTGAATTTATTACTTAGAATTCCGTTACGACTGAATGTAAGGTTTACACGATTCGTTATTTCACTGTCGCGATATTCTTCCCCAAGGCACCCGACTCCATATTTATTAATTTCATTAAGAACTTTTGATCAAAATAAATGAATTTCCGACAATTTTACTTGAACAACTCCTATTATGTATAAAGTTTCAATTTTACTCTGCAAAGTAAATTGTTTTTGACTTCAAACATTGAACTGTACGTTCAATCAGCAATCAATCAAAGCTATTATGGAATATAATGATTTACGTCACCGCCCTATTTTGGTATTCAGCTCGGTATATAACGTACCTATTCGATTTTCATAAAAATATTTAGCGTTAAACAAAATCGTTCTAAATTTAATTTTAAAAGTATTTTTTACTTTATTCTAGTTAATAATATTTTATGATTAATTCATAAAAGGATGAAAAACAAAGGATTCAATGAAGTAAACTAAAAAAATATTATGTAGGTAAGTTGATCGTAAACATACAGACGAGGTTCCATCTTTTAGTTTTGTAATGTGTTTCCTTCGAGATACGTCATTTAAGTTTAGATCCGAGATCACGGATTTGGGTGGGTTCGAAAATAACAGTAATCTATACTTACCTACCCTTCTAGTTCTGTAACAAAAAGTGGATCTTGTGTGCCGAAATGAGATCTCTGCATTCCTCCAATCTTTCGCCTTCTCATGCTAGGCTAATCAATGCATGATTAAAATACTTTCACAGTTGAATTTCTCGTTTTTTTTTACAATTTGGGTACTTTATAGTTTTCAGAGTCATCATCATCATTAGCCACTGTGTTTTCGATATGGACATATTATATTCTATATTCATATCCAATATGTTATACCTTTAAACGAGCAATTATTGTATATATATAATCTGAATCTCGGAAACGGCTCCAACGATTTTCATAAAATTTAGCAGACAGGGTATTTCGGGTGCGATAAATCGATCTAGCTACGATTTATTTTCAGAAAATGTTGTTTTATTCGTGTTTTCAATAATCAACTCTTCCCGACATCTATTGGAGAATAATAATACTATTTTTCTTAATTGAGGGCAACTAACCGCTTTAAAGACGCAACAAGATGGCGTTATCCAAAAAGAAAACCGTCCGGTCATCGTCTGGTATATTATTATACAACATATCCACACTGATCAAACCGCAATAGTTTTAATTATTGCAACGACTCGCGGAAACGGCAGAAAATGCTATAAACACAACACATACCTATATTCTTATTATCTTCTTAACCTTCTCAATTTTTGTCAACCGATTTTAATTCTTTTTTTTTTAATTTATTAGCCATTAACATGCTTTAGTGTTGTCAGTAAAACAATTAAAAGAGTTATAATAATATTATTTATTTCTTTGATTTCCTTTTTTATTTAGCATCTACGGATGGTTTTGGTGTAGTGATTTATTTTCGGAATTTTTCACATTTTTATTTTTGCTTGTCAATAATAAATAAAAGAAAATAATTATTATATAAATAGGATCCAAATCTTTGTTTGTCAGTGTTCAAGGAGAGAGCTTCGATCATTATGCAAACGCAAGCTTAATAAAATTTAAATGATAACATGCTGTTTGCCCACGGTAAAATTCACAAAAGCTGAATCAACATACATGTGGTTTTTAGTTGTGTGTTAAGATAATTTTGTGCTAATAATATTTGTTTGATTAGAATAAGTAGCAAATAAAAAGATAACAAAGAAGTAAGATTAAAACTGGCTCGTTTCGACCGGCTAACAAATTAGAATGAATTAGGCTTATATATTTTTTCATACTTATTGTATTAGTTTTATTTTTTAATAAAATTAATTTTATACAAAAACTAACATTAGATAATTATATTAAGGAAATAAATGGAAGATTCCTGCTAAATGTAATCTTGACAATGTTTTGTACTGCCAAACAAAATTTGTTTAGGTTTTTTCTTTCGCCGACCGAGAGGGCTGGTGGTCGTGGCGCCGACGACCGCCGGTCCGGCGTCCCGAGGGGGAGGTGATGGGAGAGATGTGCTCCGCACTAAACGCTTCACTTCCCCCCCTTTGCCTTTTCATGAGTTCTGTCTCATGCGAGGTTCGGACGCGGGTTGTTGAGCGACAGGAGGTTTTAGTCAGTTCGACTCCGACATGCCCCGCCCTTCATCCCCAGGGGAGGGCGGAAGTACGGCGATTTCCTCCTGACCAAAAAAAATAAAGGTGTTTTCTTTCTTTGGTACAACCCACCCATTAGCATTGCCGCTTAAAGTACGGTACTCATTTACTAAGCTAGCATAATAACTATGAATTTATGGATACGGATATAAGCTACGTGCAGGTTGAGAGTTTTCTTTCTTTTATTGTAAAATTCTAATTTTTTTTAATTCTATGGTATGATGAACTATACATCCCTAGTTAAAATATTTAAACCTAAGGGCCTAGTGAAGTTCATATGTACATAGGTATCGAAAATATGCTAAGCCGTATATTCCCATTTT